ACTATGTTTGCCTTCAGAACCCAGAGATCAAGAAACAGCTTAGCAAAGATCAATTTTTGAAGAACCTCGAGAAGCTTTATTGTGAAAACAAATTTAACAAGCAAAAACTCAAGTTGAAGGAATTGAATTCTATTGAGGTTGATAAAAAAGGAATTGTTAACTACTTTGATAATGAATGGGTTTTGTTCATTAGACATTTGAATATCTTCTTTAAAAACTCTCGACTGTCCACCTGTTCATCCACATATTGTCCGCTGAAGGAAAGAGTAACTCACCATTCTAATCCAGTCGTATGGTCTAGTACTGAAATCAGTCTTAACGAGGTAGTCTTAGAATGGATATTGGAAGAGAGGAGCTCCCTTTGTTCACAGAAATTCAACGGCAGTCCACCAACTGGTGCTCCTGTGTATCGTATGGARGACGTTAGCACCGAGGACAGTACCGCTAGGTAGGTATTAGGACGTTGGGCGTAACGTTTTCTCATTTCAGACCGATTGTCATCTCCTTGTGAATTAGATTCTTTAATCCAATGGTATCCATAATAATGTGTTGTCTTCTTATGCGATACTGTAAACGAATAAGTGATAGGGGATGACACGTGATCTGAAATGAGTAATATAAGGCTGAGCATTATAAACTGGTCTATTGCAAGTTGTGTGGGAATACCCAAAGATATGCTGTAATCTTTAAGTTCTTTAAAAAGGCATCGCGGAGTCGCTGTTGGCATGTAACGTTCGCAGCATGCGTCAGGGTTTTTAGAATCGTTTTCCTGGTCTGAGATCGATGTCTTTCACGATAACGAAGCAGATCAAGAAATCGAATCTAAACTTCATTAAAGAYCAACTCACCACAGAGAATATCGTCACAAGATGGTGTTTTATCCACGATAAAAACTCAGTCAGCTATAGAGTATGCGCACTTGTATCACTATGGGCACAACCAATTAACCTTTCACAACCCATTGAGATAATCATATTGTGTTTGCAGCAGTAACGTTTATTGTGATGGAGCAAGGACAACACATCCAAGAGTATTCCCAGACGGAATGCCTCTGATCATACCAGTTGATGTAGAACTTTTAGCTGCCCAGGGTGTAAGACTAAGGATGAAGAACATTCCTRCTGATATGACGATCTTAGATCACAAGTAAGGGCTCAAATACAAACTCTTCTTCTGGTTCTATTTAAATAATGTTTCGTTATGTCTCGTGGTAAACTTAGGCAGATATAAGCGCTAAACCAAACTGGTTACTGTGTTACGCAGGTCTCTCTTGCGAGGGTCACGAGGGTCACGGGGGTCACGAGGGTCACGGGGGTCACGAGGGTCAGTTTCTCCATTTATCCTTCCACCTTAAAACACATCATGAGAACTGTATGCAAAAAGAATTTTAAATGTAGTGGTAGTATGTGTGTGCGAGAAAAATGGGCCAAACGAGACCAAACCAGTATTCATAATAAACTGGATGAATGCACTGCAGAAAAGAAAGAACTATTTACAACTTTA